CAATCTGCGCAGACCACCTGTGACCAGGCAGGTCCATCTCCACAAGAGAGTTCCAGCTCAGAAGGGGAACCTGGAGAAGCATCGCCAAGGGTAAGAGAGACGATCACTGTGAGACAATCGGCAAGGAGTACCAAAGGTGTACCACCACCGATGTATGGAATTTGTGCAAATGTGCAACCAATAAAGGAACCTAATAACTGGAAGGAAGTCAACAGACTACCTGCACCTGAGAGAAGCAAGTGGATGGATGCAATGGAAGAAGAATTTGCATCTTTACAAGACAAAGAGGTATGGACTCTTACTGAATTACCTCCTGACAGAAAAGCCATCGGTTGTAAATGGGTGTACAAAGTAAAGTATGACCCTGATGGCAAAATAGACAAATACAAAGCCCGTCTAGTCGCGAAAGGATTTTCACAGAAATATGGAATCGATTTCTCGGAAACCTTTGCACCTGTTGTGAGCTACACATCCTTCAGGACACTTTTGAGCATAGCAGCCTCAAGGGGCATGCACGTTGAACATTTGGATATCAAAACAGCCTTCCTCAACGGAGACCTGGATGAAGAAATCTATATGCAACAACCAGAGGGATTCTCAACAGAAGGACAAGAAGGCCTAGTGTGTAAACTCAACAAGAGTGTCTATGGACTAAAACAAGCAGCCAAAGCCTGGAACGAGAAGCTGACTAAACTGCTACGTAAACAGAACTTTAAACAAGGAATAGCAGAACCTTGCTTGTTCACAAGACTTAAAAATGGAAAGTATCAATACATACTAATTTATGTTGATGATTTGATTATTTGCTGTCAAAATCAAAGTGATGTACAAGAAATTGCTGATGGACTAAACAAGGAAGTTGAAGTGAAACAGTTAGGAACTGTACAATACTATCTTGGAATACAAATTGAAAGGACTGATGATGGAAGTTTTCTTTTGAGCCAAAAGCAAAAGATCATGGACTTTATTGAATCTGTAGGAATGAAAGATTCTGCAATTGTAAGCACTCCAATGGATAAGGACTATCCCAAGCTTACTGAAGGTAAACCACTAAAAGACAATCATGAGTACAGATCTGCAATTGGAAAATTATTGTATTTGAGCACAATCTGTCGTCCAGACATTACTTCAGCTGTTGGACTTTTGTGCAGAAAGACCAGTTCACCTAATGAGCATGACTGGAAAGCTATTAAGAGAATTGCAAGATACCTGAAAGGAACTTTGGATTACAAACTTAAGATTTCAACCTGTGTTGAACCCAGACTGACTGGATACATGGATGCCAACTGGGACAAAGCCTCACCTGATGGAAAATCTACAAGTGGATACTTGTTCTACTATGGAGACAGTTTAATTACTTGGACTAGTCAAAAGCAAAGCATTGTAGCCATGTCTACTGGAGAAGCTGAATGTGTGTCAGCGCAAACTGCAAGTTATGAACTTTACTGGATCATACATCTATTGAAGGACTTCGGCATAGATGAACCAAAGCCAATAATTCTTTTTGAGGACAATCAAGCCTGTATTGCTATCTGCAAAGGAGAAGGAACCAAGTCTAGAAACAAGACCATCGCACTCAAGTGTCACTACGTGAAAGAGCTGCAAGACCAAAAACTGATTGAACTGAGATACTGTCCTACTGACCAGATGATTGCTGACATCCTGACCAAGCCGCTTGAGAAGCAACGTTTTGAGAATCTTCGTGAATGTTTATATTTGTCTGACTTTCGTGTTTTAACATGAGAAGGGGTGTTGGGTATTTGCATGTTGAAAACACTCAATGTGTATGCATGGGGTTAAATGTCTGTTCTGTTGTTACAGGAAATCACCTGTCTTTGTGTTAGCCAATGTTAGCTCAAGTTTGTTAGCCCGCGAAAGCATCCCTGTTCTAAGAGTTTGATTGGGAGCGAAGTGTTAATAACTTTGCATTTTATGAGCCCTCTTCCCGTCTTTGTTCGCCTTGGAGTAGAAGCACGTTGGAGGGCCATCTTTTCCAGTTCTTCTAGTCTAGAGAGGATGTAGCTGATTTAGCTCTCTGTTATTTTCTCCCAAGTTTACCCTTCCCTATGGTAGAATTGTAGTAAACTTTTATATTTTTAAACACACATGGACTCTGGGTCTGATCATTGAACTCTGGTATTGCTAAGCTGTTTTTTTAACTCTGCTGAATTTCTTTAAAAACTATAACACCACCCCTCAAGGTGCCAGCTGTTCACATCCCCTCCAAGGCCCTGGCAAGCAAACAGGCCCTGCGGCCCCTCCAGAAGGTCTCGGAGGAGGGCCCCCCTCTCCTTTTCAGGGACCCCCTTCCCCAGAGCGGGATGTGTTATGAAGTAGGCCAGGGGGAGGGGCTATGGTCACGAGGGGAGGGGCCTCTGGTGGGTGGCAGGGAAGTCCCCCCCAGTGGAGGAACAGCCCACCTGCTGGCAGCCAGAGGACTGCAGTTGGGGCCCGGGAACACCTGGGGGGAGGGAATCCTTCCCAGACTGGGAGGGGGGGCAGCAGCTTTGCTTCCTGACGAGGGTCCAAAGGCCCCCCTCCCCCCTCCTGACACCCCATGGCCAAAAGGCCTCCCCGGTTCTCTCCTCTGTGCTCCCTGGGTCCCCCCGGGGGCGGGCGAGTGACTCTCTCTCAGTCCCGCCCACCTCACAGGGGCGTTGTTGCGAGACTAAAGTGAGGAAAGGAGAACCAAGGATGTCAGAGGAACCGGGAGCCCTCCACCGCTCGTGAGGTCAGGAGGGACAAGCGGAAATACGGACTTGCACAGAGAGTAATTAAAATGTGGCATTCACTGCCAGAGGACGCAGTTACGGCCACGGGAATGGACAGCTTTAAAGGGGGATTGGATGGATTCAAGGAGGATAAAGTCTGGCAATGTCTGCTGCCCCTGATGACGGAGGGGAACCTCCACATTCAGCCTCTGGGTCCCTGAGCCAGGAGGAAGCCTCAGGGGGAGGCCTTGGCCTCCAAGCCCTGCTGTCGGCCCTGCAGAGGAACTGGCTGGCTCCTGTGTGAGGCAGGATGCTGGACTAGATGGACCCTCACTGGTCTGACCCAGCAGGGCTCTTCTGGGGTTCTTCTGTCAGGGACCCACTTGCATGCCCTTCCTCGTGGGAACGAGGGTGAGGAAGGGTCTCCTCCGTCCTTCAGCTTGAACACGGAATCAGAGGCGGCCGCAGCTGGACTCCTCTCCAGGCCAGTCGGGTCTCCTCCGACCATCAGCAGCTCTCTCTCCAGGGTCCTCGGGCGTAGGGGGGCCTTCTCCGTCATCGGTTGTCCAGGCATCTCAACTGATCACATGGCCAGGAATCGAACGGGGGCTTCCTGCCCCTGGCCCTCCCCTGTGCCAGACCTCCCGCCCTGTTTGGGGGAGGAGGTTAAATGGGCCCCACTTCCCACCCAAGCACCGAAACCATCGATTATAATTGCGAAACTTCAGCCTTCCCATGGAAGGCGGTTCCTTCTGGTCATCGCAATGTCTGTTTAGTCACTCAACTGGCTTTATTTTCATGTCTTATAATCTGCCTGGAGTCCAAGGGAGAACAGAAGGCTAAGGATGAAATTATTATTATATGTACATTATTGTTTTATTTCGACTCTATCAATCTTGAACAGTTATGCTTAATGACCATGATCTACCTGGGACATTCACATTTCTGGCCTTTTAAACCTCAATGCCTTGCTGGATCAGACCAGGGAGGGTCCACCTAGTCCTGCAACCACACACAGTGGCCGACCAGTTCCTGTGGAGGGCCAACAACAGGGCAGAGAGGCCGAGGCCTTCATAAGAACATCGTAGGAAGAGCCCCGCTGGATCAGACCAGTGAGGGTCCATCTAATCCAGCATCCTGCCTCACACAGGGGCCAGCCAGTTCCTCTGGAGGGCCAACAACAGGGCAGAGAGGCCGAGGCCTTCCCCTGACAAGAACCTCAGAGGGCCCCTGCTGGGTCAGACCAGGGAGGGTCCCTCTAGTCCAGCATCCCGTCTCAGACAGGGGCCAACCAGGGGCCTCCGAGGGCCACCAGACTGGGGACGGAGACCCTGACCCTGACTGCCAGCCCTGGGATTCAGAAGTCCGCTGCCCCTGGATATGGAGGCTCCCTTGAGTCACTGTGGCTAGTAGTTACTGATGGGCCAAGCCTCCTTGAATCTCTCCCACCCTCTTTTAAAAGGCCGTCTGTGCCCCGACAACACTACATCCGCTGGCAGAGAATTCTGCAATTTCACCACTCCTTCAGTAAGGAAGGATTTCCTCGGGTCTGCCCTGGGCCCATTTCCCAACCGCTTCACTGGGTTCCCCAGAGTTTTGGTGTTGTGGAAGAAAGAGAAAACTCTCTCCTGATCCATATTCCCAACAACAGGAATCATTTTACAAACCTCTCCCATGTCCCCCCCATAGTCATCTCTTGGTGCCAGTTTGGTGTCCTGATTAAGTGCGCGGACTCTAAACTGGGAGAACCGGATTTGATTCCCCACTCCTCCACTTGCAAGAGTGAGGGTAATTTGCTTCCTCCCTACCTCTCCCCACCCCTGCCTGCCTGGGGCCAGGGAGGGCCTTGGCGGGGCTTGTCAGGGGGTGTGGCATATGCTAATGAGTTATGCTAATGAGTTTCCCTAGCTCTTTTTCTACGAAACGACCCCTGTCTGAACTAAAGAATCCCAGACCCTTCAGCCTCTCCACACAGGGGGAAGGGGCTCCGACCCCCTCATCCTCTCGGTCGCCCTCCTGGGTGCTTTTTCCAGGATTCTGAGTCCGGCCTAAACGGCTGAAGAAATTAAAACATTTGACTGTATCCCTAGACAGTTGGCGGTCATCCCGTCAGCCTGTAAAGGGCAGCCCCCCAAACTGGCTGTGAGAAGAGCCCCCCAAGGACATTTTGAGGTTGGGCCCCCTCATTTCTCCCTGTCCAGTCGATCCGATTAGGGGCAGATTCCGGAGCAGGAGGGGGAGTGTGTGTCCCACCCACCCCACCCTCCCTTCCGGCCCCCACCCCCTCACCTTTCTTGCTCTTCAGGTACAGATAAAGTCCCACGGCCACAAAGACCAGCCCCAGAACGGCCCCCACGGCCCCCGTCCACACTTTGCTCCTGGCGGAGTCCGACGTCTGTGGCTCTGTGGGGAGAGAAGGAGCCTCACGTGAGGAGATGGATCGGGGCCAAGCTTGGCCTTTGACCCCCACAGATGTTGAAGGGAGAATCGGGTTCTTTTAAAAAGGGGGGGAGGGGAAGAGTGAGCAGCAGGAATGAAACCAACCCTGTGGGGGGGGGCAGCTGCCACCAGAATAACGTGACTTTGGTGTGCACAGCCCCACCCGCTTTCTAAGAACACTTGGCAGGCAACGGGAAGGTTAGCAAGGGCTTCATCCTACACTAGAGAGGGGCTTAGAGAACAAGAGAACATAAGAGAAGCCCATGTTGGATCAGGCCAATGGCCCCTCCAGTCCAACACTCTGTGCCACACAGTGGACAAAAATACCAGGTGCCATCAGGAGGTCCACCAGTGGGGACAAGATACTAGAAGCCCCCCCCCCACTCTTGCCCCCCCTCCGAGCATCCCTTGCCTCAGAGCCCCTATCTATGCCTTGTGGCTAATAGCCACTGATGGACCTCTGCTCCAGATGCTTATCCAGTTCCCTCTTGAAGCCATCCATGCTTGTAGCCACCACCACCACCTCCTGCAGCAGTGAATTCCACGTGTTCATGACTCTTTGGGGGAAGAAGGACTTCCTTTGATCTGCCCTAAGCCTCCTGATCATTAATTTCACTGAATGCCCAGGAGTCCTTGTCGTGCCAGAAAGGGAGAAGAGCACTTCTTTCCCTACCGTCTCTACCCCATGCATAATTTTGCCAACCTCTGTCGAGTCACCTCTCAGTCGTCGTATCTCCCAGCTAAACAGCCCTGACCTCTTCAGCCTTTCCTCGAAGGGGAGGACGTTCCCTTACCCCACTGCACGGTGATGGGCTCCTTCCGGCTGCTGTGCTCCACCTGGCAGGCGTAGAGGTCTCCCCACTGGGGCACCGTCTCCAGCATCGCCTGGTACTGGTAGGTCCAGTCCGCGTTCTGGAGCTCCTCCGCGTAGCCCACCCCTGCCGTCTGCTCCTGCCCGTTCCTCAGCCACTTGATCTTCACCCCCTGGGGATAGTAGCCGGCCGCAGTGCAGATCAGGAGGGTGTGGTGGGCCAGGGGGTCCCCCTTGGAGGGGGAGATCGTCACTGTGGGCACAACTAGAATAGCAAGGGGAAAGGGGGGGGGGATTTCAGAGATGGAGGAGAACCAGAGAAGCAGAGACGGATGGAGAAGAGGAGGACTTTCCCATGTCTGCAGCTGACATATTTCTGAAGGCACAATCTCGTGGCCTCTCCCACCCGCCAGGGCAGTCAAAGATCCACGAATCCGGGACCCTGCACAGAGAGACACACACAAAGGCTTCCTACACTTCCTTCTTGCTTCCCAAAACTCTAGGAGTTGCTTTCCAGGATCAGACCCACACCCGGCCAGACCTGCCTTCTCTTGGTGAGAAGAATCCACCTGAAGACTCCCCCAGAAGCACCTGCTGGGTCCACTCGAACTCTCTAGAAGAGCTTTTCAACAGGGGCGGCCTGGCGGTCGCTGCCCCTGCTGGAGACTCTTCTGGTAATACCCTGGGAAATTCAAAGGGATCCCTAAATCCTCCTTCGGCTTTTGATCGAAGGTCCCCTCTGTCCTCTGGGAAGCTCTCAAGGAGGAGGCTTTTTCCCCCCTGGATGCAGCCCAGACTCTGGCGCTCACAGGAGACGGACACTGACCCCTTCGCATCCCGCATACCCTCGGCGGGTGCCTACCCCAATGCTCAACTCAGCAGACCTGACTTTGGATGGGAACGGGTGTGCCCAACTCAGATTCCAGAGGGGGCAGCCTCCTGCCACATCCCCCCTGCCACAAAACGCTTCCCTGGTTCTATTTCCGGCTGCCCGTGGAGGTTTCTTCGACCAGGAACCACCAGCCACAGCAACTCGAGGGAGGGGGGTGGATGGATGTGAAGCAGCATCAAGTCTCTTCCCACCTATGGAGGGGACCCTATGAAGGAATGGCCTCCCAGACGTCCTCTCCTTAACACCCCTGCTCCGGTCTTGGCAACTGAGCACCGTGGTTTCTTTTCTTGAGCCAGGCCTTCTCATATCCCTGCCTCCTTCCACTTTTCCCGGCATTCTTGTCTTTTCCAGGGACCCTGGTCTTCTCCTGACGTGACCAAGGGACCGTAGCCTCCGTTTAGTCACTTTCGCTTCTAGGGAGACTTCAGGCTGGATTTCAGCTAACTGGATTGGATCTAAAACTGAGCCTTAAAAGACCACAGCCAGAGAATTTAAAAAATAATAATCACCAATCTGCTTAAAAGAACTTCAGCCATTTCTCTGTCGGAGAAAGGGGCAGCAGCTCCTAAGAGTCCTTATAAGTTGCAGAAGAGACTGGAGAAGAAGAAGTGAAGGCTGAAGGATTCTGACTTGTGCCTTTGAGAAATTTTGAATTGAGATGCTTTGGGGCATTACCTGATATCAGTTAAATTTAAGATGTGGGAAAAGTTAACAGACTATGTGACTCAGTTTGTAATGAGATTAATATGATTAAGACTAGATGTGTATTTAAGATGATTAGAAGAAGAAGAAGAAGAAGAGATTGGATTTATACCCCGCCCTTCACTACCCAAAGGTGTCTCAGAGCGGCTTACAAACTCCTTTCCCTTCCCCTCCCCACAACAGACACCCTGTGAGGTGGGTGGGGCTGAGAGATTAGAAGATCTCCTCTCTTGGGTTTTTAGTCAGTAGTGGGTATCTTTTCTTTATCCCCTTAAATGTAGTCCCCTTCCTTATTTCTGTTATAGTTTGTAGTTTTAATAAAAATGCAATAAAAAATTCCCCATTGGGGAGCAAAAAACAACAAAAAACCATTTCTGAACACGAGCCATAGAGAGGTTTTAGAAGATCAACCCCCTTACTTGAAAGCTTGGGTAGGCGGAGACCTGGTGGGGGGCCTCAAACGCGATGATGGAGGAGAATCCACAGGGAGGGACCCCCCCCCCTTGGCTCTCTGTCGCCTGGGTCTTTGGGGGGGGAAGAGGGAGGCACCCCTTACTGGGCACTGAGACTGACTTATTTATCTATTTATTATTTTAGATTTATATCCCGCCTTGCCTGCTATGCGGCTCAAGGCGGAATACATACACTAAAATACAGCAAAATACAAATACAATCAAATACAGTAAGTACAGTAAAATATAAAATTTAAACCTACAATACATACAGTGCAAATTGGTGCCGATGGCATTTGCTGAAGTGGGCCGATATAGGTAGGCTAGTTAATGGCTATAACACAGGATAGGGCCTTGCTGGTACAATTTCCAATGCTCATTCCTCAGTGGCGGCCCCTAATCGAAGGCCTGGTGGAAGAGCTCCATCTTACAGGCCCTGCAGAACTACAGAAGGTCCCGCAGGCCCCTAATGTCCTCCAGGAGCTCCTTCCACCAGTCTGGGGCCGCCACTGAGAAGGCCCTGGCTCTGGTGACGGCCAGTCTGGCATCCTTTGGGCCAGGGACAGTCGGGCGGTTTTGAGTCCCCAACCTCAGTGCTCTCTGGGGAACATGTGGGGAAAGGCGGTCCCTTTAGGTTCAGGATCCCAGTTTCTGCACCATGATGGGGCCATGAAGTGACGGGGCCGTATTTAAACCTGTTCAGTCCAGGTCCCTAGCAACAGTCCCTCTGAGGTGAGTGAGTGTGAGCTAGCTCACAGTTTTTTAGCCTTCGCCTCACACATTTTTGCCTTAGCTCAGGAAGGATGGCTCCAGAGCAAACTAATTGATGCAGCAGCCAAATAGCTTGCTCACAACTTTAGTTCCCATAGCTCACACAGTAGAATTTTTGCTCACAAGACTCCACAGCTTAGAGAGAGCATTGGTGCCTAGCGACAGGTGAGCCCCTGGAGGGAAAACCGTGACAAATCCAGGAAAAGGTGTGGGGGGTGGGGGTGGCCTTTTTTCAATTTTTCTGATGGAAAGTTTGACCAAAAGTTAGGGCAACACTGAAAAGAAACTCCATCGAGGTATTTTCTCTTTTGGAATTGGTAAAATGACTCCAACGGTTATGAGAAACGGTCTTTGACCGCAAATAAACATTCATTCAAAATGACTCTTAAGGCCATATTACAAAACCAAACTTTTTTAAAGACTTAGACCAGATGACATCTAAGTTTATATGGCAAGGGAAAAGGGCACGAATAAGATTGAAAATGCTACACGACATAAAAGAAAGAGGAGGGTTTGGAGTACGGAATTAGTTATTGTATTATAGAGCTGCAGCATCAGTATGGATTAAAGAATGGATTACTTTAGAAGATAAGAGACTTTTAAAAATTGAGGGCCATGATTTACTGCTAGGATGGAATGCTTTTTTGTCGTATGAAAAAGCAGGCCCTCAAAAATATTTTAAGCAGCATTGGCTGAGGGCAGCATTATTAAAGGTTTGGGACCCTGTACATAAAAAAAAATTATACTAAAAGATCAAGACTAATTATACTTTTAGAGGCATTTACCTTACCTAATGTATATGGGGGAGAAGAAGCGTTAAGATACCAGGACATTTTGGATAAAAAAGACAATTTGAAATTACCAGAACAATTATCCTGGTGGAAGAAAGCGCAACTGGAATTTGAAGGACAAGAAACTAGGTTTTAATGATAAAATAACTGAACTGGAAGAAACTGTTTTAACAGCAGAAAACTGTTAATCAGATAGCAGGAAGATCATTAGGATCTAACTGACAGTTCAGTGACAGCTACATGTCAGCAGGTGGACTGATAAGCCTGTTCTAACCGGTTATGGCTGGCACTGGACAGTGTGCAGTCATCATGACTCAGCTTGTTGCTGATTGGTGCAACTGTGTATATAAGTCTGTACAGAAGCCATGTACGTTCTCTTCGGAGGTAAC